TGTTGTGCAGCCATCACCACCATCATCTCCAGAACTTTCTAATCATCTCAAGTGAAATTCTGTACCCACTTAGGATGACTAAGTTTCGCACAAATGGTATTTTGGTAGAAGTGTCCCATATCACTTCCAGGAATTATCCTTGTTTCACTTCTTCCTTCCTGCTGACTGCATGGCAGAGGTGATAGTTGGAGTTTGAGAAGCTGTCTTAGTCTGTAAGGTGCCATACTAAGAATGACAGAACCACAAGCAAGAAGCAAGAAAGAGCCTGGGGCCCTGATGACCTCAGAACCACCATACTAGCCTTGAGCTGGCTACCTCTGGTCTCTCTTGAGAGAAATAAACTCTTGTCTTGCTTGTGCCATTATTTTCAGTTCTCTTTTACTCAGCGCCAAACATGTTTCTAATGAAAACATCACTTCACTCAAATTTATTTGTCCTAATTTCCTTCTCCCATAATTCTGATACCACATTCTATAACTCCAGATCTCAGTAAAGATCATGATTGCCTGTCAAAATGGTTATGACTTCAGAAATTGCATTTTCAGCCCCATTTAGCCTTTTAATTTTTAGATGAGGGCATTTATATTTTAGTTTGTTTTTCAATGTTTCTGCATATATTACCCATTATTTTAGTTATCCTTTTCTCGAAACATTATAACTATCTTGAGAATTTACAACCAAAATATAATAAAGAAAAGTTTGCTAAATGGTTACATTACGCCAGTAATGGAAAAGTCTTGGAGAGTCAACTTTGTGGTTAAAGATTAGTATGTTTGACTAATTTATTACATACTACAGAAGTTTTTTTTAAGAGAACACATATCAAAAAAAAAACACAAAGAAACAAACCCCAACACTTCTGAGAGTTAAACAATCAAATGCCATTACAGCAAATATTAATTCTATTATCACTTAACTTGCTTTCTGTTAAAAAGTCAGAGAGTGTGCTAATGGGGAGATAAAGGAATGTTTACAGCAGGAGGTGTGAGGGAAGCTGATACAAAATATGTTGCTTATGCTGGATGTTTTGGTGGAATTAAAATTTTTTAATTTAGAATCCTAACACTTAAAACACTATGTTATTTGTCATGTAGTGAACTCTGAGAAGTCTGCCACAACAAATATTGAAGACTAATACCCAGAGTGAATCAGACAAATGTGAAAGAACAAATTAAAAGGAATCCTAACATAAATGACATTGTCATAGGACCTAATTTTTGAGTGAATTTGCTTTTTTTGCTAAAGTAAACATAATGAAGAACAGATAGCCACTTCAACTCTTCTGGAAAGAAGGAATAAGAGCTCAACTAATAGGACTTCTTTAAAATAAAATTTTCAGTTGTTTCAGTATTCTGTGCATGCATACAGAGGAGTGTAATAGACACATGTAAATGTTCATATGTTAGTGACCATGTCAATGAATTTATTTTTCCCACACTAAATTTAAAGAAGAAAATGAAATCTGTCAACAGACCCTGGAGTTCAATCTGGGTTTACTTGAACCAGCTGGGCTTCCTTGAGTAAATTACTAAAACTTTCTAGGCCTAATATGCATGTTTTGAACACAGGAATCATAACTGCTCCCTTTCAGGGCTGTAAGAATCAAACTGATACAAGGTAGGAACTCAAAAAATGTTGGTTTTCCTTTCCCTCTCTGGCGCTGTTAAGAAGCTTCCCCCTAAAGGCTGATGAATAACATAAATTTGCTGTGCAATTTATCTAAAAAATATTTGGTATTCAGTGTAAACAAAGATCACAGTTTCTGTTTTCCCCACTCCCCAAAAGGTAGGTTTAGGTGAGTGGTAAGGAAGACAGGATCAATTAAAATTTGAATATTTTCTGGCTTTAATGTTGTAAATATGTTTTATTTATTTGGTTTAAAGTAGTTTTTAAAAGGATATACTTCTGGAAGTAATTAGTAGCCTAAAAGACACTGGATAAATCTATGTGTTGTTTTTTATTAAGGATTATAAAATAATGACCCAAAAGATCATTAAGCTATGACTTGCATCACTCAACTCGGGATTCTTATGGCAGAAACATAGATAAATAATCAGAGGCAAACAACTTCAAGAGTTTTAGTACATAAGGTATTTTACCAAAAAACACTGTATTGGCCAAAACACAACTTTTTTCTATAGACAGCATTTATGCTCCCAG